CTTCTTTGATCATATGGATCTTCTAGATCATTCCATACCATTGATTGCAGCAATCAACGTTCTTAGTCACACACCAAATAACAATAGATGTAGCTTCCTTGGCTAAAACAGGATTTCCTGTAACAACGGTAACAGATTACAACTCTTTTCAGGAGGGAAGACGAAACTAGAGGGATTCAGAGTTGCGTATGTTACTAATACCTTCCCCAGCTAATTTGAGAGAAAAAGTGAATATCTGTTGAGTGAGATGTTTCGTTGCTTTCCTTCCTGGTGCATCGGCAAGAGCCAATTTCTTCAACAAGGGATAAACTGCCTCAAACCTCTTTGTATCCTGTGTGCATACAGACAGAGAGACCATGATTGCTTGCTTGTGATGATCAGAAGCGTAAAGGTTTTGTTTTATAGTTTACTTACATTTACTTTCTGGGATGAATCAGGGAATGTAAGCCGCAACAAGATCTCAAATGAAGGAAGTGGTAACAAGTTATACGCCCATGAATACAAACCTAGACATAAATCAACTTGGGAGACCTGTGGACATTTTACAATGAGAATACACAAGACAAAGTTATATGGAGACTCAAAAAGACATGACACGAACCTGAGCCATCATCCAAACTGTAACCGGAAGCTTGTCCTCTGTCCTCAGAAGGCGCAGTATAGCAAAATATGCATAAGGTTTGGTCCGCAAAACCAGTGTTAATGTAACAAATACTGACACCTAATCGTAAAGCAAGGAGAGAACATAGTCAAACAAAGGTAAGTGGATACAGAGCATTCAATTTCAGGATTGGGAGAAAAGGATTACATGAGATTTGGGAGGAATAGGTTTTCCATCCAAAAGAGCGCGAATATAATCAAATGACCACAATATAAAAAAAGAGACTGTTTCAATTGGAAGTTGGTCGATCCAATCGGATACTGTGTCACAAACATCATCAGGAAGCTCAGATACCGGAAGCTCATAGAAGAAGATAAATCATGTGTTACGGCAAAAAGAAAAACGTAGGCAAAAGAGAGAAATGGCACTCACATCGAAACTTTAAGCTAAAGACTTAAACTTTATAAAGATGCAAACTTAGAACATCAAGTATCAATGCTCTAAGGGTCGATTACAACTACAAGCATAAAAGGAAAGCTTAAGAAAATGCAAAACGAAAGAAAGATGATCTTCTAGGTTTTTCGGGGTTAAGAACATATTTATACCCCAAGCTAACACTACCCAGGTTGACCCGAATCGAAATCGAATCGCCCAACAAAAGTCAACGGTCGACTCGGGTAAGTAAACAAAATGTAATAAATATCGGTCACTCCATATCAGGCAAGTGACTGATGTCCAGTGCAGGTTCCGTTTGTTCTCCCGCTTCCGTGTCGCGATGTCATCCCTCGGTAGGCGTAGTTTATCGGTCTCCTTCATCGGCTAAGGCTGATATCAGATGACATCTGTGTCTTTAACTTATTCTTCATCCAATTTGATGCTTCTGGTCCAAGGGTTGGAGAATCTTGATGTTCCATCGTAACAAGGGGATAACCTGGATATCCGTGCGCTGGTTTATGGGCACTGACGTCCTGATTCTCGACCCAAGTTACGAACTTTAATAGGTTTGATGAGACTCCATCCTTCCGCTGTTCCAGCCGCTTCTTATCGGTGAGTCCTGATGAATGCTGACCGATTTCTGCTCCTCTGCTTCCTTCCAATGCAACTAACTGCCTCTGCTTCCATTCCTCCGTAGCTCACTCCAATCCTCCAGGCTCTTGTAAGCCGGATAATTCCGTTTAAACACAAGTACCACCTTAAAAAGGGTAAAAGAATAGAAATATGTACAAACTCAAACCTAAGATCCTAGAATGCAAGTCTAAGCTAAACTAAAGCTAAAGGGGCCCTAAATGATGCAAAATGATGCAGAATGCAGTTTAATGGAATGCAATTATGTACATGAAAAGTGTAAATATATGAGTCTATCAG